CAATTTTTCTGTGTTGCAGAAGGCTCCCAACATAGGACAGATGCGTATTCCTTTTTGCCAAAGTCTTGAAAGTAAGAATGAGGAATGAACACCCAGAGGGAAGGACATCACGGACAGGTGAGCAGGGAGGGTAAAACTGAGCTCATTCCTAAGTGGCAGGTCCACAACCCATGGCTGAAGGCATCGGCACTGCCACTGGGGCATGTCCCCATGATGCTGGGGCATTGGGCGTGCCACCCCAGGACTTGGTGTGTGGGCATGCATGGGAGGGAGTCACTCAGAATGCTGATGCGAAACAAGTGGCTCTATACCTGTGAGGAGGAAGGCCTTCATCATTTCCTCCTAACAGCGGCTCCCAGCAGGTCAGGACATTGGATCCAAGAGTTCGATTGCAGGACATTTCTCCAGGGCCCAGGACTGACCCCTCAGAGGTCATTTCCTCCCACTCCATGGAGGACCTCCTCCTTGCTCTGCATGAACACCCACAGCCTGGCTTCCGGGCTGCAGGATGGGGAATGGCTTGCAGTTATTACTCTCATCCTACTGGCTGTTTGGGGAATTTGATCCTAGGACATAAATGTATGCCACTTCCCAACGCTGGCAGTTGATCTTCCCCTGCCCTTTTGGCAGCAAAAATTCTGGCTGAGGCAGGTCATTTGAATTCATTGCTGATGAAATTGCCTATTATCCACAGTGCCTTGACAACAGCTTGAAAAAATGTGACTGTGCTAGCACCGCTGGCATTTTGGGCCTATGCCAATAGAGTGAACCCATTTTCCTTTAATTGGCTGAAGCCAGAAAGGCAGGAGTTGGGCTCTGGGGCTCTTGGATGGGGTGGCTGGAGAGCATCAGCTCAGGTTCAGGTGTAGGCTGAGGACGGCGAGGAAGACGCTGGTGGGAATATGGCCTCCCCTGCGCTCCCCCGGCTACTGTGGAGAATGGCCCTGGGTCTGCAGAACGGGAGGCCACCAGCTACCTCAGGAGAGTTGCAGAAGCTTTTGGGGCCAGGTGCGGTGGCTCACGCCTGTAATCCTAGCACTCTGGGAGGCCGAGGCAGGCAGATTGCTCAAGGTCAGGAGTTCAAAACCAGCCTCAAGAGCGAGACCCCGTCTCTACTATAAATAGCAAGAAATTAATTGACCAACTAAAAAATATATATACAAAAAATTAGCCGGGCACAGTGGCGCATGCCTGTAGTCCCAGCTATCTGGGAGGCTGAGGCAGAAGGATCGCTTGAGCCCAGGAATTTGAGGTTGCTGTGAGCTAGGCTGATGCCACGGCACTCACTCTAGCCCAGGCAACAGAGCGAGACTCTGTCTCAAAAATAAATAAATAAATAAAAATAAAAAATAAAAAAAAAACTTTTGGAAAGTGGTTAGTGAAACCCCAGCTGAGTCCATGGGAAACTGGATGATGGTTCCAAGTCCTTATCTTTTGTTATGAGGATGCCAGGCTGCCTAGCTATGTCCCACTGGACTGCCCTGGATTGACCATTGTCAGAGGAGAGAGGGCCCTTTCCACTTGCACAGAAGTCTGGGAGGGCTTTCTCATGACAATCATCTCATTCAACACTCATTCATTCCATAAATATTTATTTGAAGACCTACTATGTGCCGGGCACTGTGTGAGTGAGCACCCAGGGTACAGAACTGAGTAAGAATGCTTTCTGACCTTAAGGAGCTACCAGTGTCGTTAGCATGGGGACTTAAGGGGCCCAAGGATTTGCACTGTCCAGTTGGGGGTCATTTTGAGGGGTAGCAGGCACTTTACACTGGCATTGACTTTCACTGAATCCCAACTTTGGTGTTGTGGGACAGTAACCCTGGCAGGCAGCACCCAGAAAGGCTCTGCCACCAGTCCTGGAGCTGTCACCTGTGGTTCCCTCCCATGTGCAGAGTGGCACTCTGGTGTTGGGGAACATGCAGAGCGGCCCAGCCTGACTGTGCTGCCTCTGGCTCCTCCTCAGGGCTTTGCTTCCAAACTTCATTAGCCACAACCTTTTCAGACATGAAAACAGAGTCTGTGATCCATCTTTGGGAGGACGTGACTAATCAGGGTCGCCGTACATGATCGTGTAGTTTGTAGACCCAGCCAAGGAGGCAAGTAGGGCTGGATGGGGCTGAAATTACCAAGCCATGTGCCGACAGGACTATCATCACCCAGAGAGTGGTTTTTTTTTCTCTAATTCATCATGGGCAGGGGGGGCAGGGAGAACCTTTTTCTAATTTGCACAAAGGCACCTCATAGGCTAGTGAAGACCTGTGATTACCAGAAGGAGGAAATAAGAGAGTAGGAGAAACAAAATAATTTCTCACTGTGAACTAAAATAAAATATTAAGGCTCACCCCCCACCGGCTGACTGAATGGACCCCTTCTTGGCCATGGGGATATCCTAAAACTAAATTGACTGACACAAGGAGGGAGGACAGACATGCCTCATCCTGCCTCCCCCCTTCTTGGGGACATCCTTTGTAACCCATTAATAGGCCTAAGGGTATGCAAGACAAACCTGTAGGTCCTCAATTTACACAACAGATCTATGTCCGGTGGCTTCTCTCTCATTAACAGCTCCTTATGTTAAAACATTCCAATCCTTTAGAAAAAGCTGCATGTCTTTAACCAATTCCAAATCAAAGAATCTTCAAACCCACCTATAACCTATAAGCTCCCCCCCCCAGATGGCCCACCTTTTCAGGCCAAACCAATGTATGCCTCCCACATATTGATTTATGATTTTACCTGTAAACCCGTCTCCCTGAAATGTGTAAAACCAAACTGTAACCCAACGACAGTGACAGCGAGTCCACTTGCTCAAGGGTGTGGCTTCTTGGCTTCTTGGGTGTGGCTCTGGGTCATGGTCCTCAAATTTGGCTCAGAATCTCTCTAAAATTATTTTACAGAGTTTAGGCTGGGCACAGTGGCTCACGCCTGTAATCCTAGCACTCTGGGAAGCCGAGGCGGGTGGATTGTTTGAGCTCAGGAGTTCCACACCAGCCTGAGCAAAAGTGAGACCCCTGTCTCTACTAAAAAAAAAAAAATAGAAAGAAGTGAGCTGAACAACTATAAATATATAGAAAAAATTAGCCGGGCATGGTGGCACATGCCTGTAGTCCCAGCTACTCGGGAGGCAGGAGGATCACTTGAGCCCAGGAGTTTAAGGTTGCTGTGAGCTAGGCTGACACCACGACACTCTAGCCCAGGCAACAGAGCAAGACTCTGTCTTCAAAAAAAAAAAAAATATAAAATACTTACTTATATATAATATATATATATTACAGAGTACAGAGTTTGGCTTTTTTTCCCATTAACATCACCATTAGGTAACTCTCTGAAAAGCAACCCATTCCCCACCCTGCAGCCTGGAAGCCAGGCTGTGGGTGTGCATGCACAGCAAGGAGAAAGTCCTCCATGAGGTGGAAGGAAATGACCTTTGAGGGGTCAGTCCAGGGCCCTGGAGAGAGTGGGCCCTGCTTACAGTATCTTCTATCCTATGGAAACAACCCCCATCCAAACCGTCAGGGACTACTGCAAGGGACTCACTAGCCTAAATTACTAAGTGGTCAGGCTACACACTGAGGTGACCAGGCATGTTTCAGAGGGGAAGATCCCATTTCCCAATCCCAACTTGAGAGCTGGTCTAAAACCCTGCCTCCTGATTCTCAGGCCGTCTGGTACACTAGGCACAGGACACATTGTGTTTCTGCCACCCCCCACCCCAGCTCTGAGGTCATAGCCATGGTGGCCAGGTGAGCCAGATGCCCCATGGTGAAGAGAACGGGGCAGATAATATCTAACACCCGAGACAAACAGGAGGCTTTTAAGAGGAGCAAAGGGATCCCCTGCGTGTTGAGGAGGTGGGAGGAACAGGGTCCTCCCATTCCCATCACCCTCCGGAACCCAGGTACATGGGAACACAGGTCCAGGGGGAGCAGTTTAAGGGTTGCCACCACCCAACAATTCAAGGACACCCACAAAGAGGCACTGCAAAGACTTATTGGGATAGTAAGATGAATAGATTTAATCATTCTTGTTTGAAAAACAAGACATAAATTAGTATATATATAATTTATATATTTTATGTGGTATATATACTATATACAGACATTAGAAAATGTTTCCTCTCCATGAGGCTGAGGGAGAGGTGAAGGATGGTGCTGGAATGACACAGGCGGGGTCTGAGTGGTGAAGGCACAGGATCAAGAAGGTGGGAGAAGAGGGAGACCACGTCAGCGCTCCAGCTTGCAGTGGCCGTGGGGGACAGGGTTCCCCACTGGCTGCAGTTCTAGCCTATTAAACAACTGGGTCCTGTGGGAGGAGCGACAAGGAAGGGGGGCTGGCATCTGCAGAAGGAGCTCCCTGGCCCTTGCCGGGAGAGCTCGCCACTCAGGGGTGCTTCCTTGCCCTAGGGGTTACCAAGGATGGGTGGGGGTTAAGCACAGTGTACATCTTTATAAAACTCACAGAAGAATGGCAGATTTCACATGGGCCTCTCACACATTGACGGAAGAGAGGCAGACACAGGGCACGAGGGTGTGGGGAACGGGGAGCTATGGAAAGGTGGACGACAAGCTATCTATACAGAAGAAACATTGGCTTTCTTTGTTCCCTACAGTGTGACAGTTGGTAGGGACTCCGTGTCTTCACTCCTAGGAAGGTTGTTGGGGGTGGGGTGGGGTGGGGGGGTAGCAGCGGTGGTAGTGGCGGTGGTGGCAGCGGCAGCAGTGGTGGCAATAGGAGGTGTGTGTCAAGATGGATGCTAAACAGTGTGACTTCCCTTCCAGATGGCTCCGGAGAAGGAAAAAGAGGTGCAGGACTGCACCGGGTAAGGCGCTCAGCTTCTTTTCTTAGAGAGACAAATCCACAGGGTCAATACACAGCCAAAAGCATATACTCAGGACTAACATATCACACTAGCTTCCAGAAGTTTAAGATATAGTCATCAACACCCCCCACCCCCTAGCCCCTGCCCCCCTCCCCCCACCCCCCACCCCGATCCACAGCTAAGTCAACTCCTAAGGACAGTCTGTCTGGTAGAGATGTTGAGAGAGGAGCCTCATGCCTGCAGCGACAGCCCCTGCGCTGGGCAGGACTGGGCGGGGCGGGCTCCTAGGCCTGTGCTGGGTCACCCCAGGGCAGACGTTTTCACCAGGTACCTTACCCAAACGAGTGGGGTGATCCCAGAGACTTGTTCCCTAGTGGACTGAGCTGCCCTGCCCATCAGCGAGGGGCAGGGCACTTTGGGGATGGCTGGTGTGGAGCTACTGGACCTGGGGCCGAGGGCTCCCCAGGCTGCCAGCCTGTGGGGCTGGCCACAAACAGCTCAGCGCAGCTGTTTTCTGCAGACATCCCACCCTAGCATGAGCACAGATCCTCGGGGGAGGCTCCTGCCAGGTGAGTGTGAGCCCAGGGTGGGCGGGCACATCTGGACCGAGTGCCCTTTCCCCTCAGCTCGGCGCTGTGGCCTGCTGCTACTGCTACTGCTCCCGGGAGCGGGGCAGATGCTAGGAGGAGCTCAAGGCCCAAGGGGCTGCTTGATTCAGGCCCCGGCTCCCCCTGCTCAGAGCAGGAAGTGAACCTGATGTCACCTCTCAGTCCTGGAGAAGAGATAAAATAACAGCTCTGCGGTGGGCAGACTGACGAGGGGCCTTTGCCCTCACAGTGAGGCCCAGAGGCCAGAGAAGGGGTGAAGACACCCAGGGCGGCAGCTAGGCCTGCAGCCCTTAAGAGAGAGCCTCAGTCAAGGGAGTTTTCACTCCCTGGAGACTGATGGGCTCTTGGACCCTGACTGGCCCAACAGACAACACACACACACACACACACACACACACACACACACACACACACTCACCACGAGATGCAAGGACCACAAAGTTCAAACCTGGGGCTGTGGTTGGGGAAGGGGGACAGGCTGGGCAGATGCCCTACTTAATAAAGGTTTTTAAGGAGCGGGTGAATGTGCTCATAACAGTCGCCGAAGTTGGGGAGCCTGGTGGGTGCCCTGTGGCTGCCCCTGTAGCTGCTGCCACCTGCTGCTGCTGCTGCTGCTGCTGCTGCTGCTGCTGCTGCTGTTGCTGCTGCTGCTGCTGCTGCTGGTTAAGGTTCCGGGCTGTGGACTCCTCAGCGGCGCGCAGCAGGAAGGTGTAGTTCCTCACCACCTCTTCTACCTTGGCCAGCAGCTCTTGGCGCTGCGCCTCGGAGCGCACGATGAACACCAGCCGCACAAAGGTCTCGATGAGGCTGCTCAGCACCTGGAAGCTGCCCGTGATGGCTGCCAGCATGTGAGTCGGGCTCTTGTCCACATTGGCCACACGGCGACAGGAAGCCCGGAGCTCCTTGAACTTGAGAGCTAGCTCAAGTTTGTACTCGGAGATCTGAGAGACGTAGGGCTTGGGGGCCCGGGCTTCGGGGCTGGCCACACACTGCCGCAGGACTGTCAGGAGCTCATTAGTGTCCAGCCGGGCAGCCAGGAAGCCATCAGGGAGGCCGTAGGCATGGGCGCGCAGGGCATTGATCTTGGCCAGGCTCCCCTCGAAGGTGGACACACGAAGGTCGATCTCCTGAGTGCGGGACGCCTCGGGGCTGCTGCTGCTGCAGGTGGCGGCATCCAGCACCTGCAGGGTCCTGCTCACCACAGGCACCACCTGCTCATCCAACTTCATGCCGGGCAGAATCTTCATGGGGATAGAGTAGGAGAGTTCGTCCTTGCCATCACTGGCGTCATCTGCAATGTCGCACTTGCGGTAGTAGAAGCAGTAGCGGATGGAGCAGCACTTGCTGGTCTCACTGTCCTCGTCCAGATCAGCAGGCCTCCGGTACACCTCCTCGGGCAGCGAGAACACGGCCATCTGTCTGGGGCCTTTGGTCTCAGGGGCAACCTGGACATAGGAGGGGTTTCCCAGGGTCGGTGACTCCAGAGATTTGCTTTTAGAACCCAAGCCTAGGGGGAGGCCTGCCTCTACCTCCTTGGCCTCCCTGGGCAGCATCCCCAGGGGTGGGTGTGGGTAGATGTCGGAGGTCAGTGAGGCCCTGTCACCCTGATCCAGCTCACTGATGCTGTAGCGGCGCATCAGTTTCCTGTAGTTGGGAGCTGCCAGACACTCGCCCCCCGAGGCACACGTGCTCAGGCACGAGATACCACTCTCAGGGTCTGATCGGCACTCTCGGGATTCCAGGCTGGTGGAACGGATGCGCTGCATGTTGCTGGGGCTGCTGAGGCTCAAGCCTGGGCCGGCCTCTGGCTGCCTCTGGGTAGGGAGGACCCTGTCCCTTTCCCTCCCTTGGACGCTGGGCACTGGTGTCTGGGCGGCCTGGGGCCGGCCCCCACGGCAGATGCGCTTGCAGTCGCAGCTGCGCCTCTGCTCGCGGGACATGCCAGGCCCCTGCTGCACGGGGCTGCTGCGGAGCTGGCAGCTGCAGCGGCCAGGTGCCGGAGGTTGCAGGTACTCAGTGCCTGGCAGGTCTCCTTGGCTTGGTGGCTTTAGAAGTTCCTCGAGGAACTCCAGCTCATACTGCTTTACCTTCTGCAGTTGGGCCTGCCGCTCATCTGTCTCCTTCTTCTGGCGGGTTGGGAAGGTGGCAGAGAATAAATTGCGTAGCCGGAAAGGACCCCGGGATGACTTGGGCTTTGCAGGGCCTTCAGAGGCCGAGTGGGCGCCATTTAGGGTTGTCTCAAGCTTCCTAGAGGGCATGGTGCTCACCTGGCGGCTCACGGCCTGGGGCCTCAGTGGGCTCTGGCTTCGAGGCTGGCAACTGGGGCTCTGGCCTCGGGACTGGCTGCTGGGGCTGTGGCCAAGGGGCTGGCAGCTGGGGCTGTGGCTTCGCGGCTGGCAGCTGGGGCTGTGGCTTCGTGGCTGGCAGCTGGGGCTCTGCAGAACCATGGGGTAGCCAGCTCTGGGGACCAGGCTCGTCTCTTCAAGCTTGCTGCTTTTGGGGGTGCTCTCCAGCTGCACCTTCTCTCCCTGGCTGGAGATGGTGCCCTGCTTGTACAGGGTAGGCTTAGCACCCTCTGGCCCACCTTTGCCTGCCACCTCTCCTGTAGCTTGCTTGCCCACTGACTCTCGACTTGCTCGCAAATGATAGCTTTTGGGAGGAAAATTTTGAACAGGCAGCCTGTCTTCTTGTGGGGAGAGGTGCAGGCTATCAGCCCGGCTGCCTGTGAGCGCTCTGGGGCTGGAAGAAACCTCTGGGCAGAGCTGCTGCTGGGAATTCCGTGAGGTCTCTGGAGCACCGGGGCTCATTTTGAACTTCAGATTCTTATTGGCACTGCTGCTCATCATGCTAACTTCTGGCCTCCCCATGCTGGCCTCTAGCCTTCTCTCCCCTCTGCTGGGGGGGTTCCCCAAAGCCCCAGCAGGGGTGGCTAGACTCTTACTGTGAACCACCTGCTGTAGGGCGGCTGAGATGATGGCTGGGGTCACACTGCCCTTTGAGTCCAGGATAAGCTTGGGGCTCAACCTGACTTCCTTAGGCAGGTTCTCCCTCAGCTCAGAGACCTGCTCTTCACTGAGAGATGGCGTGGCCGCTCTCAGTGACATCTCGAGGCCTGCCCTAGTGTGGCTAGGCCCTTTGTCCTCAGGAACTGGGGACAGCAGGCTCAGATTCTTCTGCTCACTAAGCTGTGGGGACAGTGCTGGGTGCACTGCCAGGGAGTATGATCGCTCTCCCTGTGCCTGGCTGTCTGGCTGGGGCAGCTTCCTTCGCGCGCCTGGGGGGCCGGGACTCTGGCTTGTGATGACTGGCTGGAGAGATGCGTTGGGATCCGGGCGCCCGAGAGAGTAAGGGGCCGTGAGAACGGCCTGGGCTGCGCAGCTCTGGATCCGGAAGGGCAGGTCCTTGCGGGCAAGGAGGCTGTCCTTGTTGAGGTGCTGGGCCAGGAAGTAGGTGGTGTTCTGGTGCTGCTTCATGGCCGACATCATCTCCGACATGTCTGTGAGCTCAGAAGAGTTGGTTTCATGGCCCGAGTCCAGCGATGATTCAGGGGTGATCGTGGCCAGCACAATCAGACCTGGAGGAACAGGGACAGAGCCTGTTATACCTACTAAGATCAGGTTCTTTCCCACTCATATATAATTGTCCCTTGGTACCGATAGGGGATTGCTTCCAGAACCCCCAAGGATTCCCAAATCCACAGATGCTAGTGTAGTATTTGCATATCATCTACCCACATCCTCCTGTATACTCTAAATCATTTCTGGCTTACTTACAATGCCTAATATAACGTAAATGCTACATAAATAGTTGCCATACTGTATTGTTTAGGGAATAACAACAAGGAAAGAAAGCCTGTACATGTTCAGTACAGATGCAATCATCCATTTTTTTCCAAAATATTTTTGATTTGCGGTTGGCTGTGAAACTCTCAGATATGGAGGGCCGGCTGTATAGACAGCGCATGGAGGCCAAGGTTAGCCAGTCGTATATCAAGCTGGGGAACACCTGGGGGAAACGCAGGACTGAGAGCGGGAGAAGTAGAGGGGACAAAGAGGGGCATGCTGTGAGAAGGGGTATGAAAGGCTAGAATCCAAAAGAGAAACAAAAGAGGTGAGGAGAAGATCTGGGCAGTTTGATGGCAAATTACCATGCAAATCACATGCAAAACAACATGCTAATCAACACTATTTTTAGATTCAACAGCTAGGAAATTTTTGTTAATTGTCTTAAAGAGGGGTTGGCAAAGAGAAGTCCCTCTCTATTCCTCCTCATCTGGCCAGGCCTGCCTACAGCTCCTGCAGCTGAGGCCATTTAGCAAGCTTGTCCTCTCTCTGGCAGCCATGTGGGCCTCGAGCCTGGAACAGCTAGGGCTTGGCACTCTGGGCTCTAAGTAAAGAGAAATGCTGGCCCCTGGGGGAGAGGGCAAACACACGGGGGCTGACCAATATCAAGGCTGTCCTCACTTACAGGCAGGTTCCCTTCTTTTTATTTTTATTTCAGCATATTATAGGGGTACAAATGTTAAGGTTACGTATATTGCCCATGCCCTCCCTCCCTCCTGGGCAGGTTCCCTTCTAATCTCAATCCTTTCACTGTCTCTGTCTACACTTTCCTCTGCCTCACCTGCTTTCTCATATTCCTTCCTCCCTATTCCTTTTCTGTTGCTGTGTCATTTGCCTCTTCTTTTTCTTAAGGTGTATGTGTATGGAGAGATGCATGTGTGACATTGTATACATGTCTGATGTGTGTCTACAAGATGGAAGTACATGTATCTACATGCATGTTAGATGGTTCTCCTACTAAGTAATATTTACTAACAATAGCTACCGCTTACTGAGTCCTTATTGTGTGCTAGTCAGTGTTTAAGTGCTTTGCACGAATGGTATCCTTTAGTCTTCATGACAACCCTAACCCTAACCCTAACCCTAACCCATTTTTCTTCCAATCATGTGCATGCTGGATGTTTTTTGCTTGTCTTCTAGATCTCTCATAGTTTTTCTCTGATCCTCCATCCTGGCCTGGATCAGTAGCTGTTGCTGGATCAGTAACTACTGCTATCAAAATCCACTTAAGGCCAGGTGCAGTGGCTCACGCCTGTAATCCTAGCACTCTGGGAGGCAGAGGAGGGCAGACTGCTCAAGGACAGGAGTTCAAAACCAGCCTGAGCAAGAGCGAGACCCCTGTCTCTACTATAAATAGAAAGAAATTAATTGGCCGACTAATATAAATAGAAAAAAAATTTAGCTGGGCATGGTGGCGCATGCCTGTAGCCCCAGCTACTCGGGAGGCTGAGGCAGGAGGATCGCTTGAGCCCAGGAGTTTGAGGTTGCTGTGAACTAGGCTGACGCCATGGCATTCAATCTAGCCTGGGCAACAAAGTGAGACTCTGTCTCAAAAAAAAAACCCCAAAAAACCCAAAATCCACTTAAGATGACAAAAGTGAAGCTCAGTGAGAGTAAGTGCCTTGCCAGAGGTCACACTGGCAGTGAGTGGAGAAACAAGGACTTGGGTGCATCTGATTCAGAGCTCATGTTCTTAGGCAGGATAAAGACTCAGCCCTAAGCAGTAAAAGCTCTTGGCTCCCCTGATCCCAGGGCCCTAGGTGGTGAGTTGGTCATTTCATTTTTCTTCCAATCATGTGCATGCTGGATGTTCTTTGCCTGTCTTCTAGATCTCTCACAGTTTTTCTCTGATCCTCCATCCTGGCCTGGATCAGTAGCTGTCACGGCCCCAATCCCTGGGATCCATCTGCAAGACATTTCCAAAGAAATGCAATGGCGAGAGCCAGAGCTCTAGCTAGAGCTGAGTCGCTAATCCCTGCTGCAACATCACTGCTCCCCTGACCCCATCTGAATTAACTCTGGCCCATCCATCCACTGCCCTGACACACCACGGTGACTTGGACATCCGCTTGGGAAAACACAATGTTACCTGCTGGCCCTTCCTGGCCAGGAGGAAGGGGAGTCAAGAGGGAAGAGGAATGGGTTGTTACCTGCAGTCTGTGGGGGCGGGGGGTGTGGTCCATCCTCTGATGCAGCCAGGGCTTCCAGAGCTTGCAGAGTGGACACCAGGGCATCATCTAGCTCCTGAGCATGATCTCGGACAGTCCGGGTCTGCACACTGTCAATCAATGTCACTGGAATCTCATCATACAGGAGCCCACGCAGGTGGCGTCCTTGCTCCTGACTCTGGACGGCCCGGCGCTTCGGGTCATCCTCATCAGAGCTGTTGTCTCGGAAGCCAGGGGGTGGGGCGGCAATGGCAGGCAACAGAGAAGTTGTCTCATCTTCTTCCTCCTCCTCCTCCTCGCTCCCGGGTGGTGGGAGGGACATCAAATCTACAATATTGTCACGAGAGGAGCCAGGCCTTCCGCCTTTGCGTGGGCCCTGTTGCTCCTGGAATTTGGCTTTGCAAGAGTCACAGTAGAAATTCAGGGCTTCAGCCCCAAGGGTATTGTCCAAGGTGTAGGACCGGGCCCTGCTGGCACAAGGCTCATGGTCTAGGCTGGCTGCATCAAAGTCATCAGGGATCACGTCGTAACCTTGGCCAGAGCTTTTGGATGTGGGGTCAGACTTGGTCCGGGGCCTGGTCTCTTCAAAGAAGATTAGGTTCTCATTGACATCTGTCCGGCTTTCCTGCTCCTTCCTTTGTTCCCGCATGTGGAGGTAGCAGAAGCTGACAAGCTCAGAGTCGGCAGGCGGGGGCGTGCAGCGGCTCGACTTCCTGGGGCTGGTGCCCATGCTGCCCACATAACTACTCTCCTTTTTCCCCAGGTGGCCCCCAGTGACAGGGCGGTGGGCGCTGTGCATGTAATCTAAACCCAGAAAGAGAATGGACAATTGAGCCCTGATGCTGAGGATTACAGCTGAGCTCCCTTGGCATCTCTGGCCCAGGTCTCTGTAGCACAGTTGGATGGCAGGTACCAAGGGAAAGCATTACCTGGCTGCTAGAGATTAGGGGAAGGGGAGTGGATGAGCCATGTCACTGTTGACTCTGAAAGTGGAGTGAGTAGAATCGAATGATCTGAGCTGCTAATAGTCCCATCACCTGTGAAATGGGAAAAGGCATGTGGGAAGTGGGTGTGGGGGTGAACACCTGGGTACGTGGGCACAGCTGGACTATTACATGGACACCTATGGCCTGTCAGCTGTAAACATACTTAAAAAGGCAAGATTTGTTTTATGTCCCCCTTGGAACTGTTCCTGTCCCGCCCCAATCCCTTTTCAGAGCCCTTCCAAGTGCCAGTACTCTGCTGCTCTTTGGGTTATCTTAGATTTCCTCTAGCAGATGGAAATAAATCTGACAAGTCACTAAAGCCTTAAACAGACTACATACAATGTCCAAGTGTTTACATTTCAAAGAGGACTGTTGATGGAGGGACACACTCTAGTGCTCTAAGGCTGGTGGCTCACACCTATAATCCTAGCACTGCGGGAGACTAAGGCAGGAAGATCCCTTGAGGTCAGGAGTTCTAGACCTGCCAGAGCAAGAGCAAGACCCCATCTCTACAAAAAATAGAAAAAATTGGCTGGGCGTGTCCCAGCCACTTGTAAGACTGAGGCAGGAGGATCACTTGAGCCCAGGAGTTTGAGGTTGCTGTGAGCTATGCATCATCACACCACTGCACTCTATCCTGGGTAATAGAGTGAGACCCTATCTCAAAAAAAAAAATAAATAAATAAATAAAAGAGTTAGAATTCCCCACATCAGAATGTGTAAAGTGTATAGGAGATAGATAGGAGGTACATGTGTGGGAGGAGGGTGAGGGGAGCTACCTTTTCTTTTTTTTCTTTTCTTTTCTTTTCTTTTCTTTTCTTTTCTTTTCTTTTCTTTTCTTTTCTTTTCTTTTCTTTTCTTCTTTCTCTCTCTCTCTCCCCCCCTCCCTCCCTCTCTTTCCTTCTTTCTTTCTCTCACCTAGGCTAGAGTGCAATAGCTTGATCATAGCTCACTGCAGCCAGTCTTGAACTCCTGGGCTCAAATGATTCTCCCACCTCAGCCTCCCCAGTAACTGTGACTACAGGCAGGTGCATGCCACCAAGTCCAGCTAATTTTTTTTTTAAGAGGCATGGTCTCACTTTGTTGCCCAAGCTGGTCCTGAACTCCTGGCCACAAGAGATCCTTGCATTTTAGCCCCCTGTGTAGTTGGGATTGCAGGCATGAGCCACCATGTCCAGCTTTGGGAATATTCTTATAATTCCTCACATCTTATTCCTTTTCTGTATTCATGTAACCAGCCCTGCATGCTACACATACATGTGGTAAATACTCTCATCAATAGCTCTTAATGCCGACAGGTGTGTGCATCTGAGAAGTATCCACAGCAAATGCTTTATCTCTGAATAGCTTTTCTCTCTCTCGCTCTGTTTTGGGAGCCCCTCCCCATGTTATCTATGAGAATATACTCAGACAATGCCAATTCACTTCAGCAGACAGATGATAAACAAGGACTAATTTAGGCTAAGCTCCTTACACATGATCCCATTTAATCCTCGCAACAACCCAATGAAATAGGTATTATTAACCCTATTTTAAAGAGAAAGAAACCGACAAAGATGGTTATGTGACTCACCCAAGATCACATGGATCATAAGTGACAGTCTGGATTTGAGCCCAGGTCTGAGGAACTTCAAAAGCCATATTTTAACCATTACCCTTATAGCTCATCATGGGAGTCAAGTTGCTGGAAAACAAGACTTCAAAATGCCTTTCAAAACTCCAGTTTGACTGAGTCACTGTGGCAGTGTTGCCCTTCACCAGAACTTATTATAGCTATGACAAAAGCACAACGCTGGCACCTAACAACAGAACACCAAAATACATGAAGTAAAAAAGGAACTGAAGGTAGAAATAGACAATTCAGTAACAATAGTCGGAGACTTCAATATCCCACTTTCAATAATAGATACAACAACTAAGCAGAATGTCAGCAAGGAAATAGGGGACTTGAACAATACTATAAACCAACTAGACCTAATATAAATCTATAGGCCGGGCATGGTGGCTCACGCCTGTAATCCTAGCACTCTGGGAGGCCGAGGCAGGCGGATTGCTCGAGGTCAGGAGTTCAAGACCAGCCTGAGCAAGAGCGAGACTCTGTCTCTACTATAAATAGAAATAAATTAATTGGCCAACTAATATATATAGAAAAAATTAGCTGGGCATGGTGGCGCATGCCTGTAGTCCCAGCCACTCGGGAGGCTGAGGCAGTAGGATTGCTTGAGCCCAGGAGTTTGAGGTTGCTGTGAGTAGGTGATGCAGCACGCACCCACTCTAGCCTGGGCAACAAAGAGAGACTCTCTCTCAAAAAAAAAAAAATAAATGGGCCGGGCGCGGTGGCTCACGCCTGTAATCCTAGCTCTCTGGGAGGCCGAGGCGGGTGATTGCTCAAGGTCGGATTCGAAACCAGCCTGAGCAAGAGCGAGACCCCGTCTCTACTATAAATAGAAAGAAACTAATTGGCCAACTATATATAAAAAAATTAGCCGGGCATGGTGGCTCATGTCTGTAGTCCCAGCTACTTGGGAGGCTGAGACAGAAGGATCGCTTGAGCCCAGGAGTTTGAGGTTGCTGTGAGCTAGGCTGACGCCACGGCACTCACTCTAGCCTAGGCAACAAAGCAAGCGAGACTCTGTCTCAAAAAAAAAAAAAAAAATGAATCAATTATAGAACACTCAACTTAACAGCAGAGAAATATATTCTTCTTAAATGCACATGGAACACTGCCCTGGAAAGACCATATGTTGGCCATAAAATAAGCCTCAATAAGTTTAAAAGGAATGAAATCATACTAAGTATATTCCTGAGCATAACAGAATTAAATTAGAAATCAATAACAGAAGGAATTTTAGAAAATCATAAGTGAAATTAAACATAGCACTCTTAAATACACAATAGGTCAAAGGAGAAATCACAAACAAATTAGAAAATACTTTGAGATGACTGAAAATGAAAATACAACATACTAATGCTTATGGGATCTAGCTAAAACAGTTCTTAAAGGGGAAATCTGTAGCTGTAAGTGCCTACATTAAAAAGAAGAAAGATTTCACATCAATAACCTAATCTTCCATCTTAAGAAAACAGAAAAGACAAACTAAACCCAAAACAAGCAGAAGGAAAGTAATAGTATAGAAGATAGAAAAATTAGAGAAAAAAATGAAACTAAAATTTGCTTCCTTGAAAAAATCAATTAAAAAATCAATAAAATTGACAAACCTTTAGCTATACAGACCCAAGCGAAAAAGAAAGAAGACTCAAATTACTAAAATTAGGAATGAAAGAGAGGACATGCTACTGATCTACAGATACAAAACTGTTATAAGCGAATATGATGAATAAGGTTGTATCAACAAATTAGATAACCTAAATGATATGGACAAATTCTCAGAATATACAATCCGGCTGGGTGTGGTGCTCATGCCTGTAATCCTAGCACTTTGGGAGGCCAAGGCAGGAGGATTGTTTGAGCTCAGGAGTTCAAGACCAGCCTGAGCAAGAGCGAGATCCTGTCTCTACTATAAATAGAAAGAAATTAGCCAAGCAACTAAAAATAGAAAAAATCAGCTGGGTGCGGTGGTGCGTGCCTGTCGTTCCAGCTACTCGGGATGAGGCAGAGATCGCTTTCAGCCCAGATTTGAGGTGCTGCGGTGAGCTACTCTTTTTTTAAAAAATTTTTTTTATTTCGGCATATTAGGGGGTCAAATTTAAGGTTCAATAAATGCCCTTTCCCCTCCCCCACAAGTCTGAGTTCCAGCATGACCATCCCCCAGATGGTGCACATCTCATCATTATGTTTGTTATAACGCCCCTCCCCCCTCCACCTGCCAATACCCTATTACTGTAGCACCTATATGTGAACTACTCTTATGCCACGGCACTCTAGCCCAGGCAACAGAGTGAGACTCTGTCTCAAAAAAAAAAAAAAAAAAAAGAAAAGAAAAGAAAAGAAAAGATATATACAATCCACCAAAACTGATTCAGGAAAGTAGAAAATAGGAATCAGCAATAACAGGAAAATAAATTGAATTAGTAATTAAAAATCCCCAAGCCCCCAAAAAAGCCTAGGCCCAGATGGCTTCACTGGTGAATTTTATCAAATGCTTAAAGAATAATTTACACCAATCTTTCACAAACTCCTTCATAAAACAGAAAAGAACACTTCTCAACTCATTCTATGAGGCCAGTATTACATCGATCCCCAAACCAGACAAAGATATCACAAAAAAACTACAGACCAATATCTCTTATGAATATAGACACAAAGTTCCTCAACAAAATACCAGCAAACTGAATTCAGCAAAATATAAAAATAATTATACATCATGACCAAGTGATATTCATTGCATTAATGCAATGTTGGTTTAACGCCTAAAACTAAATTTGTGTAATATACCATTAAGAGACTATAGGAAAAAAACTGCATGATCATCTCAATAGATGCAGAAAGCCATTTGACAAAACCCAATACCCTTTCATGATAAAACATTCAACAAACTAGAAATAAAAAGGAACTTCCTCAACATGATAAAAGTTATCTATAAAAAACTCACAGCTAACATCATACTTGATTCAGATGAAATACTGAAAACTTTGCCACTAAGATCAGGAAAAAGACAAGAATGTCTGTTCTCATTACTTCTATTCAGTACTTTACTGGAAGTTTTAGCCAGGGCAATTAGGAAATAAAATAAAATATAAGGTTTCCATATTGTAAAGGAAAAAGTAAAACTATTTCTTGCAGAATACAAGCTCAATACACAAAAATCAATTGTATTTTTATGCACTAGCAATGGACAATTTGAAAATGAAATTAGG